GATAGCCCCTGGGTCTCTACTACGATCCACCCCTGCGGGTTAATAATGCTTTTCCATTTAAGCTTCTTTTTCAGTTAAGGAGAGTAGAGGAATCCATTGAAATTTTAGTTTAATCATATCATTCCATTTTGTTACCAGGTGAACGGTTGTACTGAGAAATTGGGAAGAGCGATTCTTGAAGTCGTTGAAGATGCTATTTCTGGAGGGCTTCAGCTTATCCATGTGGATTTGAGTAGTGTTGAGGATTCACAGAAGATATTAGATGTACCTGGAAAAATTACAATACATGGCCCCATGGATAAAGAAAGAACCTGGCTTTAATCTTTGAAAAGGTTAAACATTATATCCTCAAATTTCCCATGATCCCTTCGAGCTCTTTTTTCCTTGTAATAATTGATTCCATATTTGTGTTATATTGATTGGCATGCATTCTCATTTTGGGTCCACATTAGAAGTACATGGAGATGAATCATCTCAGATGATAATCAAACTAAGGGGCTGTTTATTTTTATTTTCATTAAGTCCTGTCTGGATTAAGATGTCTATCTGGATTAAGACGTCTGTCTGGATTAAGTGATACTAGAATAACAAGTTGTTTACTTCGTGTGCTAAATGTGTTGTCTGATCTGAATTATATAAAGTTACTAATTTACCCTTCCGTCTGTGATAAGTGCTGGATATATATTGTCTATTTACAAAACAAGACTTTAAAATTCAAGAAATATTATAACATGTTAAATTTAAGTGTTTACTACTAATCTATTAGCAAATAATCAAATTTACATCACACCTCATTTTGAAGCTCAAGACAATATAATAAAAATAAAAAGCAACAGCAGCGAGCACACCAATCCAGATGTGTATACATTAAAGAATTAAAAGATTAGATCACCAAGGACTTATCACTTATAGGGCAGTCAAACTCAACACCTCTCTGCATATCCAAGCAAGAACCGAAATACATATGGCTTTGATAACTTGTCCATTACAAACCTCTCTGCGTATTCAACACGCTTGCTTCCGGCCTTCACAATTACACGTAGCCTCACACCTGGCTTTGATAATTTGTCCATTACTTTATGGAGCAGATCAGAACATAAACACATATGACATCTTTCATTGCCAACTTCCGTAAAGCAAGCTAACTTTTCATATGAGTGCTTCTTAAACCATACTGTAATTTAAACAACCAAAATGTAAAGTTTTTGGTGTTCTAAGGCACAAAAAATCTGCTAAAAATTTAAAGCTAAAGCAGTTCAGCAAAAAAATGTATTACTACAATTGGGATTCAATATTGTTATAATATTGAAACTCTGATTGCATAAATTGAAAAAACTTGATCAAAGAACACCCTGTTGGACGGCCAACTTGTTTGAGCAACCTGAAGTGAAAAGTGCTTTGACAATCTAACACACATTGATACAACTTGCAACCAAGATGGACTCCAACCTAACTCCATTAATTAAATATATCATCCACCTTTTTCAGGCAACATACAAATATTGCAGATACAATTCGTCTCAAATTGGGGAAAAAGTCACTGTGTAGACCAACATCAATCAAAATAAAATTTCCTAAGATTATGGTATTAAAACATCCCAATAAATCAAAATATCATATATAAGATCTCATGTAATAAAATTTAGAACATATAACCGATGGTTTAAGAATATCTCATAAAAAAGTATTTCGCAAATAGAGGATGAGATTAGAGAATGATTGAACGAGGAGAAGCTTTACAGTGTAAAACAGAACAATAACTAATGTATATAAAAGCAGAGGAAATAAAGAAGGTAGAAGATGAAACTGGAGAAAATACCTCCTCGCTGCTTCCGTGATAGCTCTTTGGGTTGCTCCGGTCGACAACATATGCAGGTTTGTGGCGGGATTGGAGAGATATCGTCGATGAATTATTCTAAAGGAGAAGCCAGGGTTAAAGACGGCACACCGTGTACGCGGGTACGTCTGAATGGTAAGGAGTAATAAAATCGAGCGGACCGAATAAGTCATGAACCGTCTGAGCGAATGAGTGACGATTTCAATTAAGTCCTATATAAACATAACTATATAGCTGAGCGATTAAGTCACTAAATCCATTAAGCCCATTAAGTCGAAAGTAAACAGGCCCTAAGAAGATCAACTAAGAAATGAGGACAATAGAGACAAATCTCATGGATTATGCGATAAGATGCATAGAAGGAAGAAGAAATGCAATCAAGCAATGCCAAAGCTTACAATAGATAGATGTAATAAATTAAATATAACAATACAATTTTATGTTGTTTTTGTTTCTTTTTGTTGTATAAGATTTGTTTCTTTGTGTTGTATTGTGTTTCTTTAGGTTGTATCATGTTGCTTTTTGTTGCAATGTGTTACTTAGTGTTGTTTATTGTTGATTTTAGTTTCGTTGTTTAATATTTAGCTTAGTATTTATCATGAATTTATATGTAAACGCTTAAATTTATAAATTTAGATGAACGAATATAAAAACAACTCGAAACATAAAGAAATAGTAAAAAACAAAGTCTTCAAAATTATATATAAAAAAAGAAACAAAAATAAAAAATACACAACAAAAATCAACAATAAATCATTTATTTTATTTTATTTTATTTTTATACCCTCTCCGTTCTCTAATAGATGTCTCACTTACTATTTTGGGGTGTTCTTTAATATTTATCCCTCTTTCCATTTTTAGAATGTTTTTTCAATAAATATACTTATATACCCTCATTCTCTTTCCTACGTTTTCATTCTCTTTCCTACTTTTTCATTCAAACACAACTCATTACATCTTTTACACTACCCCTATTATTGTTCCAAAAAAGGTTGAATCGCCAACCCCAAGCGCCCCCCAGGACCCGACACTACCCCTATTATTAATCCCTTAAAACTTGTGTCAAACTCTATAATCTCATCTATTACAGAACGGAGGGAGTAATTTGTAATGTTTTAAAAAAAATTTTAAATATAACTTACATTTTATTCAAAAAAATATAACTTACATTATTTCCATTTTTGTGATTTTTTTCGGTTTTCTACATTTTATATTTCTATATTTTTCATATATCTTCCTTTTTTGTATTAATTTTATAACATTGTCTTTTTATTTGATTGTTATGACAGCTTTTTGTATTTTTATATAGATAATGGGGTATACAAACTCTGCTTAAAAAATTATATTACAAGAATTTCTTTTTTATTTTACAATTTTTGAACTCATTGGAGTTCTGTATTATTATAAGTTTTGAATACGTTTTTTTTTTACATTTTTCTTATTATCTCTTTTATAATATTTTTATACCTTTTCTATATTTAAACTTAATTTAGAAGTTCTAGACTCTTGTTTAATTTATTACTCCGTATTATGCATTTTCATGTTTTCGTTAATTTTGATATTTTGATATTTTTATTTGATTTTTTTTATTATTTATATATATTTATATATTTTACACTTTTGTAAATTTTTACGATGTTTTTCTATTTAAAAACATAAATTAAGTAAATCTTGGAGGTTGTATTAGTTTATAAAAGGTGTAGCAGTAGATGGATGAATGGATCTTTATGCGCGCTTCTCTCTAATACTCCGGATACATTACGGTGGATGGTTTATGTATGCAGGGTCGTCTATTTGTGAAATGGAAATCTTAGCGCCTGTTTACTAATCGAGATATTTTCAAGTTTTACAGAAAATTAGAAAACAAAAAACAGGAAACGTGTTTACCAAAGAGATTGCTGGAAAACTGGAGAAAGGGAAAAAGAAAAACGCGTTTACCAAATCGTTTTTCAAAACGGAAAAAATGAGACATATATCTTTTTTCCTTAATGATTTGGAGAAATGACTTTTACTAGTTTTCCAAATTTGGAAAACGCAGATGCTACAGTGCCGCTGCAATGAATTTGCATAATTACACCTAGTGGTGGGTCCGGTTCCGCTCTGATGTCGATTCCATTCTGGTACCTCCATCCTCGTACCTTACCCATAACCCCTACCATACCCACCCAACCCCAACCCACCCCGCGTACCCTTTTCCCTATAATGACCCTACCCCACCCCCTACTACATGCCCCTACCTCGGCCCCACCCCGATCCACCCTACCCTACCACCCACCCCCTACCACCTCGACCCCACCCCGACCCCACCCCGACCTACCCCCACCCGTATATTACCCCTTACCCATTACCACATGCACCTACGTACCTCGGCCCCACCCTACCGCCATCCTACCCCCACCCTTCCGCCATCCTACCACCCACCCTACCCTTCAATTCCCCTACCTCGGCCCCACCCGGATCCCGGGCCCACCCTACCGCCATCCTATCCCAACTCCCTACCTTACCCCAATCCCAACCCTACCCACTACCCCCACCTTTACCGTCATCCTACCCCCCACCCTACCCCTTCCCTACCTCGGCCCCACCCTGGTCCCGGCACCACCTTACCGCCATCCTATCCTAACTCCCTACCCTATCCCTACCTTACCCCAACCCTACCCACTACCCCACCCTTACCCCTAACTACGACCCTAACCCACCCACTACCCCCACCCAACCCCCTAACCCTAGACCTTACCACCCCACCCCGACCATACCCCTTGCCCCACCCCCACCCATAACTTCCCTACCCCGACCCCTACGAGTAGGTATGGGTGGGTATGTATGAAGGGTTGTGGGGGAGTATGGGTAGAGTGTAAGATCGTGATAAGGGTAGGGGTAGGGGTCAAGGGTGTGGAATTGGAGAACTGGGTGAAAAAATGGATGAACATGTTTTCAGATTTGAAAATGGAAAACTAAAAAATAGAAACAAAAAATTGGAGATAGAAAAACTGAAAAATAAAAACAGAAAATTGGAGAACGAAAAACAGAAGTAGAAAACAGGAAAATATCTCTGTTAGTAAACAGGCCCTAAGCTTTCTATTTTTGAAAAGAATTTTAAAGGAAATAATGACATCAATATTACCTCTCAGCTTATGTTAGATAAAAATATAACCAATTTTAAAAAGTCCTCAAAAGTGACCCAACACTTTCTTCTGCGCACTTCTTCTTCCCCAGCGACCTTCTTTGCGCATTACTTCCCAGCGAACAGAGCATCTTCCTGTGTCAAAGCGTCGGCCTTGCCTCCGCCTAGCCTCTGCCTCACCCTTGCTTTCGCCTCCACCTCCATGTCGATGGGCAAAGTCGCTGCTCTGCGCAATCACCCGACAACAATGACAACATCGCTGCTCCGCGCCTCTCCATTATGCGGCTATTCCTCTCCTTTGCTGGCCGTGACGACCACAGTGGCTAGGTTTTCAAGTCGTTGCTCGATTTATTTGCATCCGGCTATCCATGGTGTTGCTGGATCTGGACAACGACGAGTTCATTTTGTTCTTCACAGATTCCAGATCTTGGTCTGTGTTTCACCGATTTGTGGTCGAATTAATGGTGTTCTGGGTTGTTAGTTGGACGGCGGTGCGGCTGTAAATTGGTGAGGAAGTGAATACTGGCAGATTCTAATTTTGGTAGATTTTTTATTTTCTGCAAATTTTTGAAGCCAGGGAGATGCTTATGCGGCAACTTCAAGGTAAGAAAAAAACAGAGTCTCTGCCTACAAATGAACTTGAGACCATGGAAAAACCTTCAGATGGGGAAAACCAACTAACTGCCTGTGGGGATGGGGATGGGGATGAGGGGTATGGGGATGGGCGGTCTAAGGAGAGATGTGAGTGGTGGTGGTGGGGTGGCAGTGCTGGCACGGAGGGGTGGTTGATGGCGGTGTTGGATGGTCAATATTTTGCCGGAAAAAGTTACCGGAAAATTTTCCGGCGATCATAGTGACATTTTTACGGCATCAGTGACATCAGAAGTGGCGACAGTGACACAGGCGGTAGTGGCAGTGACATGAGCGGTGGCGATAGTGACATGGACGATGGTGGCAGTGACATTCGATAGTGACATAAATTCAGTAGTGACATCATGTTTTTTAAATATATGATCTTCTACTCACTTTGTTGTCCTTTTGTAAAAGTGGTCGCATTTTTAAAAATTTACTTTAACATAGTAATATTCAAGGCAAAAGCCCATATTTCCAAGGATAAGGAAATGTGAGACTGCCAAAGACGTATGGGATGAGTTAACAAAGATTGGAACTGGGGATGAACAAGAAAAGGACAACAAACTAACTATTGCTCTCAAGAAGTTTGAAGATTTCAGAATGTTGTCAAATGAATCTATCCATGAAATGGAGTCCAGATTTCTTAAAATTATTGCAGAGGTCTCTGATCTTGGGAAGACTCTCTCTCAAAAAGAAATCTCTCTCAAAGTTTTAAGAGGACTACCATCAAGATGGGATATGAAGGTAACTGCCATGAGAGATAGCAGGGATCTCAGAAGTCTTTCAACAGATAAACTCTTTAGTGATTTAAAAGCTTATGAGTTTGAGATGAAAGAAATAAAGGATGAAAAGGAGGAAGTGACAAAAGTAATATTATTTCCCATTTTTAATCTATTTATGAAGTTTTCCTTATTTTTTATATACGTAGTACTAAAAATATATATGGACATTTTTTAAATTTGGATTTTCGGGTCAAGATTGTCCCCATAGCTACGCCCCTTAATTTGTTAGTGTAGTGTCAAAAGATTCAAAACTTCATTTTTTGATGTAAGGATTGGCCGAAAGTACAATCAACAAAAAATTTACCAAAAATGCTAAACAATTTCAATTAGAATTATATAAATTGTTCAATATAGAACCAAAATATACACAAAGTGCAAAAAACGACTAAATATGATTGATTCTCCAAATAGGACTTATTTAGTTCTGTTAGAAAAATAAGTTGATTAAAAATTTCCAAAATAGGAGTGGATGTGCCATACTTTGGAACAAAATAAAGATAATCTTATTTTTGAACTTAATCTTTATTTAAGTCCTGTTTAGTGAATTTTCTCAAATTATAAATAAAACAGAATTATATATATATATATATATATATATATATATATATATATATATATATAGATGAAGGTAAAATTGAAATAATAATAGCTAAATGAAATTCAAATTAACAGGACACAAAAGGTCAAGAAAAGACTTACTCCATCCGTTCATTTTTAGTTGCAACAATCTCATTTTCACCCTTGCCAACACACAACTTTGATCCCACGATGTCTTCCCATTAAGACGAAGAATGGAAGAAGAAGAAGACATTGTCGTTGGGGAAGAGAGTGATGGTTGCGGAAGTTATTGGTCTTTAATAAGCAACCTAAAGTGGAGGATAAAAAGGGAAACTAAAAATTAAGTTTACTAAAATAGAACTAAATAAAGCTTACGGATGAAAAAACTTAACGAAGTCATAATCTTGTAAACTTTGTACTCTCTCTAACCCAAATTGATTTGCAAAGTCGACATTTTTTTGTCAACTAATGTTAGGATGTTTTTACTTGGACTGTAATTTGCTGGTCTGGTCTGGTCTGGTCTGAACTGGTCTGGTCTGGTCTGGTCTCGTAAGGTCTGGTTTCTTTGTATTTTTTTAACTATCCAAGTCTGGTCTGGTCTGGTCTGGTCTGAACTGGTCTGGTCTGGACTGGTCTGGTCTGGGGCAAATTACAGTCCAAGTAAAAACATCCTTAAAGTCAAATCTTCTGTATTAATAGTGAATTCAATTTTTAATATATAAAATTTACATATTCAGAAACTACATTAAAATGTCTTCAAAATTGAAAGATCAGATCTAATTTAGAATATAATTAAAAATTGACATCCAAATTAAGTGAATAAAATGAAACTGTTTGACTAAGAAATGTCCATTTTGCAAATCAATTTGGAACAAAAATAGTATGATTCAATCTTACTAACATCAATTTTCTCGTGCGAAATTGGCAAGAAATAAATATGATAAGGAGTATTTTCCAGTATCAATTGGCAAGTGTATAACTCACTATAACAGAGAGAAGTGAGATAATTTTTAAAACAAAAAATATATACGGAGAAATACACATGCTTTTTGTGGAATTGTGGTAAGCAATTAACATTATTTGAATGTTACCAAAATTCCCAAAATTCCCAGCAACTCACAATGCAGTCTGAACGACATTGTGAGGCTGTGAGCTGTTTGCCAGGCCATTCCGGGGAGCCAATTGCCAATCATTTCTCCAGTACACATACTTAATTAGTTTATATGGAATATATGAAGAGTCGTGCTTGGGTACCCCAATTTGTATCCCAATCTGTATACCGTCTGTGTACACAGACATTTGGACAGAAAGTCCTGCCCTCTTCCAAACGAATTGCCTGTGTACACAGACAATTCAGGGGGCTGGGTACAAAATGGGGTACATTTTGAGATACCTATACAATTTTTGATATATGAAATGTATTTCTAATTCGGGAAGCAAAGTTGTGTCTCTCTCTCGTACACACATACATATTTATACGACGTATGTAGTACATACTTCATACATACTTCAATGGATTTTACTAACTTTCCCTTTTTAGTTATTTCTAAAACAATTCTTACTTTACTATTAAAATAAATAAATTGTAGTTTTACTCATTTTTGACTCCTTACAAATTTCAATCATACAACCTTTACTTTTCTTATTGCTCACCTATTTTGGATTTGGCAAGATCCATTGAGACGGGGTATATATCCTATTCCACTAAAGAACATACCAGAAAAGACATCATCAACGTCAACGGTACGCAATTTTAACACTGACAAATGTACTTCGTATTAGTAATTAGATCACATCTTCAAGTGAATAAAAGCGGAGACAAGTTAGACAACCAAAAGTAGTTACAAACTAAATCGATAATTTCAATAAACAATAAACTAAAAATTACTTCGTATTTAACACTAATTAAAGGATAAAGATCTGGTTTCGTCTGTTTTGATATGAACTGGTTTGGTCTGGTCTGATTTTGAGACTAAAATAACTTCTAATTAAAAAGGCACCAAATTTTGTCACGGCTCTAAGACTAGGCTACTACATATACTCAGATCAACAGTTTCTTAAATTGTTTAATTTCGTGTTGGACCCTCAACAGCACCTCGTAGTAGTAAGGTAAAGATGTGTTCTAACCAGGTACTACTTCCTCCTAGTACTATTTGTACATTTCTTTATCAATACCAAGAAATACAGGCAAAACCCGGGATTTCTTGTTGTGTCGGGGCTGGCGGTGTTCGTGTTGCCACCGCGGTGGCCCGGAGACCTTCCTTTCGACACCGTCATCAGGCGATGAGGAAGAGGACGATGAAGACTTTATCCAGCCTGAAACCCAACATCAGGAAGCCCATTATCTTTGCAGGGCTATCTGGGATGGGCACCTATTATGATGATGGGAGGTTTGGAATTTATGGTGGAAAGTTTGTACCGGAGACACTCATGACATCTTTGAGTAAGCTGGATCATGAGTTTAATCAAGCTCTGCGTGACGTCCACTTCGTGGTAATTATATTATGATGAGGATGTGTTGCATTTCTTATACTTTTGGAAATGACTGAATTAGGGATTAGAAGAAAAATAATTAATATGTTAGATGGAGTTATAATGTTTGAAAATAAAATTAATTTTCAAAAAATTGAAGTTGAAACATTTGGTAAATAGTATGTTTTCTCTAATATAAAATGTGAAAAATAGTTTAGAACGGTTATATACATGCCGTAGGTTCTAGCTTTAAGATAGTTGCTTTACTTGCTTCAAAACCCGAATGAGCCTTGTAGAGCACAAAAAGTACATATGCATTTTACATTTAAAAAAAAAAGATGACACCCCATCTTCGAGGGCCCCCAACACCGGCCGGATAGTTAGCTGGGAGGATGTAAGTTGGACTTTAATTACAAGTTGACAGATAGAGAGTGTGGCTCTAGCCCTAGTACTTGCAGATCGAGGCTTTATACATTTTTAGTATAGTAACCTCTCATCGTAGTTGTCGGAATTCGAACCCGAGACTTACCTCTTGTGACACCCCCTATCTACTAGTTGAGCTACGTCCCATCGGCACATAAATACTCCAATATGTGCTTTTGCTCAAAGACATACTAGAAATAGTTTTAAAAAGTAGACCTCAACACCTCTATCTATAACTACGTTTTTAAAGCTAAAAGGTTAAAAGCATTTTTTAAAGAATAGAAAGACTCCCTTAGTTCTCCAAATCACAAAAGCGGAGATACGAGCATATGTGAACAGCAGTATGACACATAATCATTAGACAAACTTTAAAATCATAAAGGGGTGATTTGAGTTTCCACCATATTTTATTGTCTAAATTGAATTTTGCACCCCATTTTCAAAATTCTTTGTTTTTGCACCCCAATCCCGTATGAAAAGACAAAAATGCCCTCGATCATGAATATGTTGAAGACCAACAAATTTGTTAATGGAGGGGCAATTTTGTCTTTTCATATGGGGTTGGGGTGCAAAAACAAAGTTTTTTAAACACGGGGTGCAAAGTCCAATTTGCAGGAAAAAAAATGGGGTGCAAACTCAAATTACCCCAAATATTTAAGTATAAAATATTAAGTTTGTTTCTAAAATAATGTTAAATTAAAAGTTATTTACAAAATTAAGATCTAGTTAAGAATAAATTCCTAAAAGAACCCACCAATTTCGAACGCTAGCCAATAATCTTATATTTATTTTATCCTTATATATGCACTATCAATGTCATATGAAAGATAATAAATTTTTTTGAATTATGATATATTTTTTTAAATTCGTGGGGGTTTTTTAGTTTCATTTTTTTTAACTAGATCCATATTGTAAAATTAAGATGTCATGATTGTATAACATAATTTCATAATGCAATAAGGAGACATTTTATTTAGTGGCTAAATGTGTCAATAGAGAAGGTTTGTGACAGTTATTTGTTACGTTTATTCGATTAGGGTTGTTATTTTTTAATAAAATGCTTTTGAACTTAATGTCCCTTTAGCTACACTGTAATCCAACATATAAAATATCTCCTAATTTCAGCATGAAATTATGTTACACAATATTAAGATCTTAACTTTAAGATCAGAGTCCGTTTGGTGACTCTGATTTTAGGCTTATCGTGCTTATCATCCAACTTTTTCTCCAAACACGAAATTTTTTATTGTGCACGCTAAATTGTTAATAATAAGAAAAACTAAGTTTGGAGTTACTTTTCTGGCTGTATTAGCTAAAGTTACTATAGAAGATCATTTTAACAATTTTTTCATATAATTTTTTCTTTATTTTATTAATAATAAATATTTGAAATAGTAGTATAATTTTTTCACTCTCTTTATACGAATTATACTACGTAATAAATAAAATAGTACTACTAGCAATGTTTCAAAAGAATATACATACTTCGTCTAAAGTAGCTGATAATATTAAAATAGTTAATTATGATCCTATTAACGAAAAGTTGTTATTTTCACTCTCTTTCTCTTGAAATTGCTGCAGATAGGAGTAAAATAATGGTGTACCTATACCTTTGTCCACATGGACCAATAGGAATGATGTAGTTGAATTAATTAAATCTAAAGTAAAAGGAATAGAATAATTTGGACCAATCAAATACATGGTGCGTACGATACCCCAATTTTTAAAAGGGTACCGGAGTTGTCACCTAAAATTAAATATGTTTCATTTTGAATGAAAGAAGATGTAATAGTTAATACTTCTTGTTTAAGAGCTAATGAGTTTTGTTTTAAGATACTATGACTAATAACCTTATACGAAGTATATAAATGAATACTTGTGTTCTATTATTGCATCTATTCTTATTTAGAACTTATCATTGGGAGCATACATTATTGTAGAAAGAGCTTGAAACTGCTTTGAGGGATTACGTGGGGCGCGAAACTCCATTATACTGGGCTCAGAGGCTCACAGATCACTACAAACGCCGCAACAACAATTATAAAGGACCGGACATTTATCTCAAGAGAGAAGATCTAAACCACGGCGGAGCTCACAAAATAAACAATGCTATCGCGCACAGGCTATCCTAGCCAAGCGGATGGGCCTCAGAAGTGTTGTGACCGCCACAGGCACTGGCCACCACGGCGTTGCTACCGCCGCTGCATGTGCCAAACTTGACTTGGTATGTGAGATTTTTATGGGAGACTTTGATATGGAGAGAAATCCGTCTAACGTCCTCCTCATGAACCATCTTGGTGCTAAGGTACGCACCACATTAATTTAGGAGTATCTAATTGATGAGCTAGTTCATTTTAATTTATGCCCTCCTAGAAATGTTAAATATAAATATAGATGCATGGATGGATACATACATATATATAAAGTATTTGCATGGCTAGAACCTCAAAACATATGAGAAGTTCTATGTATTTTTCACAGTAGCTGCTGATTACAATGAGAGATATCCTATTTATAGGAAGGGTAGTTAATGCTCTCATGATGGCTTTGTCCGTTATTGACGGGTTGGCCGTTCGTTACTGACGAGTTGGCCGTACATTATGATGATTTTGAATCTGTCATAAAAACTGGTCAATTACTATCAATATCTTCCTTAATCACATTAAAGAGCCTAATAATGTATAGAAAACGTTACATTAATTAGGATTGAGATTTGTGGATGCTCCATTAACTCTTGTGGTCAACTCTCTTAAATGCAACATAACCCGTCAATTTCTTGCTCTAACACATGCATAGCATTAATTCAATGACAATATCACATAATTTAAATTCTCAAAATAATACATATTCACCCCTTTGCCCCCCTCTTTCGAATCCTCCCTCTAATATGAATATTCCTTATACTCCGTATTTTTTTTAATCTAAAATGCCATTATTTTCTAATTTCCTTCTGTACATTTCAATGATTGAATCTACAAATGCAATAACTGATTTGAGAAGAACATTATCTGATTTGAAAATATCATCTTCCCGGTTGGAGAATTCCACTACTTTTGATTTGTAATGCCATTGTTTCCGTCCAGATTATTTTTTTATACAAAAATATACTTCCTCCGTCCCAATTTGTTTTGCAAAGTCAACTTTTTTTGTTCAACCAATAATAAAAGTCAATTCTCTCTATGCATAATCAATTCAATTTTTAATAATTAAAATTTACATATTCATAAACTATATCAAAATCTCTTCAAAGTTGTAAACTCCGAATTAGAATATAATTAAAAATTGGCATCCTAATTAAGTGAACAAAACGAAACTGTTTGACCAAGAAAAGTCAAATTTGCAAATCAATTTGGGACGGAGGAGGTAGTATATGTCATGTCAGTTTCGAGCGATATATATCAATGGATTACAAGTCTAGTATTCAAATCATTAAATGTTAATATTAGGAGTGAGCGTGCCTTTTGTGTAATTATATAGTCCTTCAAATTTATCTAGGTGAAAATGGTAGTAAAGGGAACCTTCAAGGATGCAATATCAGATGCAATAAGAAGCTGGATAGAGAACCTAGAGACGTCATATTTCTTGGGAGGGGTCGCTGTGGGACCCCATCCATGCCCGACCATGGTTCGGGAGTTTCAGTCGATCATCGGGAAAGAGACAAGGAAACAGGCGTTAGAAAAGTGGGGCGGTGAACCAGAAGTGTTGGTGGCATGTGTTGGGAGTGGGTCAAATGCATTGGGACTCTTTCACGAGTTCATCGGAGACCCAAATGTGAGATTGATCGGAGTTGAAGCCGCCGGTGTCGGGTTACATAGTGGAAGACATTCTGCTACTTTGACAAGGGGCGAGGTTGGTGTCTATCATGGAGCAATGAGCTATGTTTTACAAGACGAGGATGGCCAAATCATGAAACCCTACTCGGTTGGGGTTGGAATGGAATATCCTGCGGTTAGCCCAGAGCTTAGTTATCTTAAAGACATAGGGCGTTTAGAGTGTTATACTGTCACCGATGAGGAAGCCATGCAAGGTATAATTAATTCGTAAGTGAAGTGGGTAAAATGCATAAACAATACGTTAGTTATTGATTTAGTTGAACTTTGGTACTTTGATTCTTAAATGAAACACTCCGTATATCAGTACCACAGTTATATATACACGTAAATGATTCAACCAACAAAATTACTCAAATTTCAGGCGAAAACATCTTGTGTAGGTAGCGGCCGAAATTCTATGTGTAGTGGACCATGTAGTGATGAATTGGATAAATGTAATATGAAGTGGACTGTACGCATGAAACTCTAGCTGCCACACGGGAGCTTTTTGCTTGGAATTTGAATAGTTTTGTCTTTGAAAACATTTACTTGTAGCTATGGTTCCGATTTGCTATATTTGAGAGTTAAACTTAAGTGTAACAATATGAATAATTATGGTACTGTTTATTCATTTTATTCTACATTTTCTTAAAGTATTTAAGGGTGTTGGAATTGATTGTACTTTTGCTTCTTTTAAGAAATCAGAAGCAGGGTCAGTTTTTCAGAAGTTGGTCTCCTCCAGCTTCTAAAAACCTGAATCTGCTAGAAGCACCAATAACTGTTTCTGCTCTCTGAAGAAGCAGAAGCTGTTTTAAGAAGTAGATCTGAACACCGTCGTACTACCTCCGTCCCTTATTTAAGTTCACAGTTTAACTTTTTGAGTCAAACTTTGTTAACTTTGACCATTAATTACTCAAAAACCGTAATATTTTATTATATCAACATAATTTTGAATGCTTCATTTTAATATATATTATTGAAATGTTAGTTCATTTTGAGTTTTAAAAGTGTATATTTTTATATATTGATGGTCAAACGTTGATATTGGAGACCGTGAAATGTTGACTGTGAACTTAAATGAGGGACGGATGGAGTAATTAATATAGGTAAGGCAATTAATTTATTTTGTACATAGTTAGATGTTCGCCTATGTTTAATTCATTGCAGCGTACAAAAGGGTATGTAATTTAGAAGGGATATATCCAGCCTTGGAGACATGTCACGCATTAGCATTTCTTGATAAGCTTTGCCCTACCCTACCCGACGGCACGAAGGTAGTGGTTAATTGCAGCGGTCGTGATGATGAGGATGCTCATACTCGATCCTCTATGCATATACAATCCGTATATACTAATTAAAGACGAATACCATGGACATCATCCATTCATAATCATTGAGGTAGTTCATTTTTCTAATTTTGTGTGCACATGTTATAATTATTCAATGTACATCTGTAATAGGGAGATCGAATTCATTTTACACCCAATAACTTTTTGAGCTATATTATACATTGAACCTCATTTTTCAGAATCATTAATGTATTAATTATGTATGATCCCCATCACTTAAAAGTCATGAGGGAATTGAATAAGGTGCAAAGCTATGTGATTTTATGCTCAATGGAATGCATGCATTAATGATTTTGAAAATGATGTGCAATGTCTAATATGTCAAAAAGTGGGTGCAACACGGTCAAATTTGCACTTTGTATATAATATCATATCAATGTACATTTCGTATAAACGTACGTTATGCTCCTTTCCTATCAATGAAATATGAGCCTCTATAACTGAACATAAGAACATGGAATATAAGCCTTGCTCTCCTCTTGATCGGGAACCCGGATTGCTTGAGCCGGCGAGAAAAACTTTTCTATAGATTCAACAGCCTTTTGGGTGCCTATCCACAAAACGAGACTTTGGATGTGCCATGGGAAGAACATGTAGATGCCAGAGATCGTTTCAATAGAAGATTTCATAAATTTATTTTACTAATCAAAATGATTGTCCAAAGTTTACTAAACTAATGACTTGAAAAATTAAACAAATGCAATATGTCCAATAATACACTATTCACATGTTTGACTATACTTTATCTATTAATGTATTGAATATTTAATTTCTGAAATATATTTTTAAATTCCCCTCACTTTAAAGTTTTAAAATCTAATGTATTTAATTTTTATAAATAAAGAAAGAAATATATTAATAGTCAAAGTTGTGCGTTGGTAAACGTGAAAATGAAAACATTTCAACTAAAAAATAACGGAGGCCTGGATTATAACTTATACTCCCTGCATCCCTTAAAACTTTGGCAAATTTGACCGGCACGGGGATTAATAAAGTAAAAATTGTGTGGTTGAGGTTTGTGCAGATGAAAGAGAATTAATTAGTATCACATATTCTTTACTTAAAAGAGAAAGCAACAAAGTTAATGGAACAAAAAAAAAGTTGGTAAGGTTTTAATGAACGGAAAGAGTAACTTATACTAATAAAATTACACTAGGTAACTCTTAAATTTCTATCTAGCTTTTATTATAAAAACTATTATATAAATAAACAATTAGAAGAATTTTTTAGTTTGGAAAGAATAATACGAATGCATGCCCAACCTATGTTGCACGAATATGGGTACGGCGATACGGCAATTTCAAAAATTATAGAATACGGGTTCGGGGGTATATTTATAAATAATAAAAATATAGGGTATAATTTGCTAATTCAGGGGTTCATAAATAAAAAAATAATAGTACAAAAAATTAACTTTTATAATAAAATTTCAAAGATTAGTCTGAAAAAACTAAAAAACAAAAGTACTAATATTTTGATTTAAATTCAAGTAACATTTTTTTGTTCTCTATTTGCATTTACATCTATGTCTTGTTTCAATTGAAGCTCATCAAGCAATGAAATGACAAATTATAGTATTTCATTATTTTCCATACTCCCGAAACCATCTTTATCAATGTTCCACATGTTGTGGTCACTTGGGCGGCTACTAAATTTTCGTCATGTCGTGTATCAAATGAGGGGTTATAGGGTTAGATACGCGTATCGGTTCACGGATACGGGTATCGGAAGTATCGGTATTTTTAAAATTAAGTCCGATACTTTTATTAAATTACGGATACGGACCCAATACGTACAGGACGCGTATCGGTGAGTATCGGATACGGATACGTATCGGATACGCGGATACGGCATCGATGTGAAGTATCGGTGCAACATAGTGCCCAACCTCTTCCATATACGGAGTATATGTTATATATCCCCTGAAAGTCTCAAATTACTTTTATTTCCGGATCCCCTTTTTATATATGATCGTTACCAAGTGTAAATTATATAAAGAACTTGAGTCGGTAGACGTAGTTTAACTTAGAGATATAGAGCCCTACAAGGGCCGGTAATAAGTATGGAATTCAAATCATGATCATTGAGATTAGAAGTTCCTTTGTAAAAATGCATACAACCTCAATGGTTACTCGGATCAGTACCTCATTCGCTAGTTCACTATCTGCCAGTACTTGGATAGAACCTCATTCGCTAGTTCACGATGCCACCTTGCGATTAATGAATGATCCACTACAGATTTCTTAATAAAACAACATAGATGATGTAATATGAACATAGATGATGTACTTGGATCAGAACCTCATTCAAAATTGCGTAGCCGAATACAGAGTATGCAGTTTCGTAAGTACGTTGTAATAGCTGAAACATTGACTTGGTCTTGGTCTTTTTTTTTTTTTTTTTTGACCGAGTAATATTTTCACTCCTCTAAAGTCGTCGAATCCCTAAGGAAAATTTGCTCCGTAGAAATCAAGCAAATTAAAGTAGTAACTTTAAATTGAAATAGGCACACAAAATATGGCGTAGATAAGATGCTTGTCCCTATAAATGTTACTCCCTACGTCCTAAAATTATTGTCCCGTTTGGTTAATTATTGTCCCGTTTGGTTTTTCACACATATTAATAAAATGACATTGTAGCAACACTGTTTGACACTGTAGTGACACTGTTTGGCACCGCAGTGACACTATTTGGCACCGCAGCGACACTGTTTGGCATTGTAGCAACACTATTTGATACTGTTATGCACTGTTTGACATTGTTTGATATAGATTTGTTTACCAAATAAGAAAGATAAAGAAACGAGACAATTATTTTGGAACGGACCGAAAAGGAAAGAGGGACAATAATTTTGGGACATATTCGGCCTCATTTTGGGACAGAGGGAGTATGCAATAATTTTGGGACGGAGGGAGTATGTATGTATGTGAGAGTGTAAGTCAGTCTTTGTAGCTAGCTTTTTCTCTTGCTTGGCCAGCTGGTAGAAGTGCAAAAAGAAGCAAAGTCAGGCCATGACCATCGCAGATGGAGATGAATACCGCGGCTTTCCCTTTCTCATCGGCCTGCCCTTTGCAATTTTGGCATCCCCTATTTTCACCTTATTCGGCCTCATCATATGCGTCATTGGGTAAGCATTTCTATGGATTTCGATTCATTGTTGATTGTAATTTGCTCTTTCTATTTGAAACCCTGTTTCAACTTAATTTAAATATTTGATATTAATTCACTAATATATATAGCGATATTGTGATATGGAGTATTTTGGATGAAAGAATTTTATAAAGGGAACTTTTGTTGCTATATGAGATTTTCAAAGTTTTGCTTAATACTCTGTACAAAATAAGCCAGGAAAACTCATATTTACTTCGTATATGCCAAGGCACCTCCTCAATTCATAGATAGGATGATGCTAATACAAATTCAATTTAGTGGCTCTTGATTATTCTCTTGAATCCTGTTTAAAAATATCTGTTAGAGAGTCAACTAACTAACAGATGTTTGACTAAGGAAAAAATGAATTCAGTCAACAAACGCATCTTATTCCTTTACTATAGTACATCAAGTATTTATAGTATTTCTATTTGGTATTATTTAACATCCCCCATAATACCAAATCCACAACAAACACAAAAATACTAAGGTAAACTGATTACATTCAACAAGCTTCTAAATTTTCTAAAGCTATCCACCTTCACAGCTTTAGTTAATACATCAGCAATCTGATCTTCAGTACTGCAGTGATTCAGCCATATATATCCTTCCTTTATCAATCTGATCTCTGAGAAAATGAAACTTGGTCTCAATGTGTTTACTACGGCCATGTGAAACTGGATTTTTGGCTAGATTGATTGCTGATTTATTTTCAACAAACATCCCTATTTTAGCATCAATTTGCTGCTTTAGATCCTTCAACAAGAATAGAAGCCAGATTCCTTGACAAGTTGCATGACATGCTGCTTTAGATCCTTCAACAGGAATAGTTCTACCTTTTGTTGGTCTGAGTTCAGCCCTCTCCACCATACTGTCATTGTTGTTATCTGATTCATTGCTATTGCTGTTGATTTCTTCACAATCAATCTCCATCCTTACTTGTGAAGTATCAGTGTGAACAACATCCTGTTTCCAGAATTCCCATTCATCAAATATAACATCTCTACTATATTCAATCTTCTTGGACCTTGGATTATAGAGCCTGTAAGAGTCAGTGGAATTATAACCTACAAACACCATAGACTCACTTTTATCATCCAGTTTCTTTCTAGTTTGATCAGGAATATGTTTATAACATAAGCATCCAAAAATCCTAAAGTGAGTTACAGATGGCTTTTGTCCAGACCACACTTCCTCAGGAACTTGATTATTCAGTCTTTTGGTAGGAGATCTGTTTAAGATGTAAACAGCAGTTGACACAGCTTCACCCCAAAGATTATGGGGTAAACTCTTACCTTTAATCATACTCCTCACCATGTTAAGTACAGTCCTATTCCTCCTCTCAGCAACTCCATTATGCTGAGGAGTATATGGAGCTGTAATCTCATGAACAATTCCATTATGGCTAAAGAATCCTTCAAGTTCTTTTGAGCAAAATTCCCCACCCCCATCAGTCCTGAATATCTTAATACAGTGACCTGACTGCTTTTCAACCAAGGTTTTAAAATTCTTGACAATGCCACTAACCTCACTTTTTGTTTTAAGTAAGTAGACCCACATCTTTCTACTATACTCATCAATAAAAGATACAAAATATTTGTTTCCCCCAGAGATTCAGTTTCAAATGGACCACAAACATCTGAAAATACAACATGTAGTAATGCAGTTGCTCTAGTAGGGATAGATGCAGAGAATGACCCTCTATCTTGTTTGCTAATAACACACTTATCACACAGTATTTTAGACAGCTTGATGGGAGGTAACCATACACCATACCTTAATTGTGTAGTTTATTCAGATCTCTGAAATTCAAGTGACCATATCTGTAATGCCATAACCATGAATTATCCTGTACTTCAGTGGCTAGACATTGAGTCTCAAGGGCTGCTATTTGAACCTGAAATGTCCTGTTGGCAGATACAGGAACCTTGAATACTCTCTTATGCTGGGGGTCATATGCCTCAAGAACTCCCTTCTCCATGTGAATGGTAAAGTCTTTTTCTAGCAGTTGGCCAATACTAACAAGATTGCTCTTCATCCTTGGTACAAATAGGACCTCACAGATAATGGCTTCAGTACCATCCTTTCTTTTGAAAACTACATCACCTGTGCCTTCAACACAGATTACTCTATCATCTGCAAACCTCACTTTGCTTTTCTTTGATTCATCATAATTCACTAACCAGTTCTTCTGGCCCGTCATGTGATTGGAACATCCTGAGTCAAGGTACCAAATATTTGAGTCATTGTTC